GGAACCCTGACTCTCCAGAGTGGGACTGTCATTTGGCAGTTATGCTTTACTTTCTTTTTTTTTTTTTTTTTTTTTAACCAGAATCTCCTTCCACTTCAGTTTCTTGTAAGGCAGTGTTTATCTTTCCTGCCCACGTGATGTGCTGGCAGGAGAAGGTTGGGAGAGCTTGTTTACTGGGAGGAATTGCAAGTATGAGGCTTTGCTCTTTGATGCCTTGTCAGCTCTCCCTTTTGGAGTTGAGCACTGCTGGGCCTTAGGAGAGGCTATTCTCCCGCTTTCCCTGTACAGGCCTCCCTCTGAGTTGTGCGCCTGCCTTTCCTCCCCTCCTCCCCCCAGTTCCTACTGGGAGGGAGCTTTGTCTTTTGCATCTTTTGGCAGTTCTGCCCTTGGCCAGTCCCTGGGGCTCAGAGCCAGGTGGTGCCAGTCCTGTTCTGCTTGTGGCTCTGCGCCTTGCTGGGTTTCCCAGGAGAGCCTCACCCCCTCTGAGGCATCCTCCCAGGCAGCAGACAGCCCGCCACTGCAGCAGCCTGGAGCCTTGGGAAGACTACAGCTGCTTTAAAACCTGCTCTTCGCCAACCCTACGCAGGGCCATGGGTTCGGTGTCTACTGGGGCCCCTCAGGACTGCCGGACACGCTGCTGCCCACTCCCAAGGCAAGCACACCATGGCCCTGGCCATTCTGCTCTCCCACCTGCTCCCTCCCACTCCATCGGCCATCAGCGGCCCAAGCGGTTCTTTTCAGTTTCTGTTTCTTCATTCTCCAGATGTTTGTCAAGGTCCCTGGTGTGCCAGGCCTCCCTCAGTTCTGGGGACACTGTCAAAAGGGCTGTGTCCTGCTGGGCCAGGAGCTTACATTCAGGATGGGGTGCAACAAATGGCAGACGAGCCGTTCTTTTCAGAGAGTGTCCAGGCAATGAAGAAAATTGAGGGTAGGTGGGGACAGATGGGCCCACAGGAGAGTAAGCCCGTGGGCATAGAGTGTCCAGTTCAAGTACCAAGCCAGGAGCCAGATGGCAGATTTTGAGCGCAACTTTACCAGCTCCAGCCTCTGTTTACTCACTTTGCAGATGGGGATAAAGCAGCACCTCCCTCTTCGAGTGTGCGTGAGGATGCATGACTCAATCTATGAACCCTTAAACCAGTGTCTGGAGCATATGAAGTGCTATTTAAGTTTAAGCTGCTACTTTTGCAGTTTCAAGGCAAAAAAGTAGCCATTCCCAGCACACTTGGACAGAGCTCATAATCTTGCTGTTACATTTTAATAATTTTATTGAGGCTTAATTGACATGTAAACAGTTCTGCACGAATCCAGCAACACCTACTCTTTCTGGCCCTGTGGTGATGGACAGCCCTGGGGACAGTGCAACCACAGCTTGGTCCATTCCACGCCCACTGGGCCCAGACTCAGCCCAGACACTCGGCCACCCTGCAGACCTTTACATCCCGCATTCCTTCTGGATGGGCAGTGTCCTCCGCTGCCCAAGATGAACCTTTCGCCTTCATCGTCCTTCATCTTCCCTCTCCAAACCTCTGGAATCCTCACCTGAGTCTCCTATTCTGTGGGCCTGTCCCCATGGCAGAAGGTCAAGTCTTTCCCATCTCAAACACAAAACAAAGTCAAAGCTTCTTGTCTCCCCTGGCCTTATCTCTTTCCTTGTAGCCAAGCTTTTTACATGACTTATCTACATGCCACTTCTGTGTTCCCCATTCCCTTCCAAACCAGGCCAGTGTCCGTGTCTGCTGTCCGTAGCCCATCCTGAAACACCAGCACTTGCTGAAGCTCCCCTCCAGGTCACTGTGGGGCCACCCCGTGAGCAGGTTGAACCAGCCTTTCTGTGGGGGGCTCACTGTCTGCAGCAGAGTGATTCCGGGGTGCCCACCTCTGCTTTCCTTTTTCCCTGATGTCCCACATCTGCCTTTCAAGAGGGGACTTCTCCTGGGCTTCCTTTCTGACTTCCTATGTCTTCATTTAATGTTTATCTTCAGGCCAGGACTTTTTTCTGAACTCTCTGCGTATGCCCCAGCAACACGGTGAGCAGCCTTTCCTGGCTGTCACAGACTCCTGTCACCTCAGCCCGTTTCACACGGAGCTCCCCGTCTTGTGCGCAGTCCTCCACTGAGTCACCTAACCAGAAACACATATAACTTCCTCTCTCCTGACCGCGCCTCTCTCCTCCCCTCTCTCCCACCTGTCCTTTCTGTCCATCTCCCCCCGAAGACCAGTGTGGCCCCTCTTCTCTGTGCTGCTTCCCCTTAGCTTCTGCTTTCTTTGTCTCCTTCACCACAGCTCCGTAGGGTGATACTTGACAGAATGGAAATCCGTTGATGTGTTTTCTCCTGCTTTCCATCCTCCAAGATGGAACCCTCACTTTTCTGGCCAAGTCCTTCAGAATATGGGGCCTCCAGTACCACGGATTCCTGCACCTCCCCGAGCTCGCCTCGCCTTCCGCCCAGAAGTCCTCATGGCCACCTCACCTGCCCCTATTTGCTCCCCTGCTCCAAGTGTTTTCCCTACTCTGGCTTCTCTAACCCCAGGTGAGGTAGATGTTCCTCTTCTGGGGCCTGGTACCCTGCATGGCTCCTTAGGGGGGCCCAGACTCCTGCAGCATTTGTGGTTTCTGGGGAGACACGGAAGGCACAGATTTGCTTATTCACCTTTATGCTTGGTAGAGTTCTGCTTGATCCATATGTATTGAATTATACATAACATCTATCTCATGGCTTCCGCTAGCCATTGGCCATGTCACGTTGACATGGTCTAATAATATGCAGTTCAGAAATCCACTCTCCCCCACCCTATGTTCAGTCTTCATGCTCTCACAATTTGGAATCCATCCGGCCCCATCCCACACATTTCCTGGTTTCTTATCCTTGGGGCTTCAAGATGCCAGGAAGGCTGAAAATACCAGATTTCTTGCCTTGTCAAATAGACCCTGAAGACGGCCAGGGATGTCTGCGGTGGGTTCCCTCCTCTGGATCTTATCTGCCATGGAGCAGCCCACAGTAACCATGACCCTACATCCAGCATGCTCTTCCTGTCTACCTGCCTTCCCCTGCCCGGTCTGACAGATCTGCACTGCACCCATCTCCATCCAGGTCTACATGGAGTCCATGAGGCTCTGCATGTGAGCCTTGGAGACCCATGGGGTGCAGGAAGTCTCTCAGAAAGCATCCTGTAGCTCTAACTCACTTGTCAAAGCCCGGTTTGAGAACTAGTACCACAAAATGATCCCCAGAAGCAGAGTGAGGACCTGAGAGATTTTCTGCTATCTCCCAGCTTGTGATGAGAGCATTACCAGACCCTGGGGTGGTGCTGCTTCGACCCCCTTATGGCCTCCGGGCAGGAGGCACAGGGCCGGCAGACTCCTCTGGCCAGCTCCCCCTCTTTGCTGCCCAGCCACAGAACCATTTCCTTTGTTGGAATTTGCCTAACACAACTCTCTGTGCCAGCCCCTGGGAAGCAGAGGAATGAGACAGCCCAGCGAGAAGACTGCCAGCCATGCCCCCTCACTTGTGCTGAGCTCACGAAGCATGGCTGACCCGGGCAGCTCCGCCGGACACCACAGAATGCACTTCTGCTCAGAAGTTTGCCTGTTTGTCCTTCAATTCTCCAAGGGCATGGAGAGCCAGGCCCTCGGTTCCCACCCCACCCACCTGCTGAGAAACAGAGAGTTGTCTGCTACCCCGTTCTCTCAGGCGAGACCTCCTCATCATCAGCAGGAATGTCACTTCTGGACATGGAAGGTGGTAGAAGCCAGGCCCCACCCTGGTTCCCACAGTTGATTTACAGCAGAGTCACCCCTGTCCGTGGCCCGGGCTGCCCTTTGTGTGACACCATCACAGCCTTGCGGGTGTCTCCCTCAAAAGCACTGTTCACACCCAAGCACACTGTTTGCTTTCCAGCTCCAGGCTCACTTCCCCAGGTGACTCAGTGAACATGTGTCTTGTAGAACTGATCCATGGGACAGGCCCCAGACATCCCAAGCCTGGCTCCCTGGGTCAGCTTGAGGGTCAGGGAATTCACTTTGTAATTCTTGATGGTTGGTCTCTGGAAACTTTTAACAAATCTTATTTGGGGACAGTAGTCATGAGCCTGATGTCAGTTGTAGAGAAAAAGCTATTTTGCTGTGAAATACTGAGGAATGACCCAGTACAGTTCTAGAAAGAGGGGAGCAGGAACTGAAAGCAGAAGTAATAGCAGGTCCTCGTGCGCAGGCCGTACATGTGATTGGTGTCATGTCCCCAAGTCCCTGGAAGGAGAAGTGGGGGGTAGATGGACTAGACGAGGTATTGCAGCCATTTCCTTCACCCCGTCTGCTTGCTGCCACTCCTGGGGGTGAGTCGAAGTGAGACTGTGAGGGCCAGAGAGACTGTGTCCCCTGGTGTATCTGCATCCCTCTAACTCAGCCTCTGCTTTGGGGGTTGAAAATGGGCCTGAAGTGTGATGATCTGCAGCCCTTTGGGGTCTTGGTTGGGAACCCACTACTAGCTCAGGGCTCTCTCCCCAGCAGATTCCACACCTCGACCAGGGGGAAGTCGAGTTGTCAACCACCCTTCTTCCAGGGTCCTGGACGTACCAACAGCAAGTCAACGAAGCAAAGCAGTCACTTCCGAGCTTGAGGGAATAGTGGAGGTTCTGAACTTTTAAAAAGACACTGAAATGAAAACCTTTCAGGGGTTGGAAATTGATTGTACTTGAAAGATAAGTGACAATGTTACCAGGCCAGTGGCATCACTGAAGTGCTGGGAGAGGAGGGCGTTGTTCTTGGTGTCACGGTCTCTTCCCTGCCTTCTCGTGGTCCCTGCAGGCCGACAGCTCACTGGAGCCGAAAGGGTCTCCACCGTCACCGCAGAGGAGACTGACATCGACGCGGTGGACGTGTCCCCTCTCCCAGGGAACGACGTCCTGGAATTCAGCCGAGGAGTGACTGATCTGGATGCCGTAGGGAAGGACGGAGGCCTGCACACGGACTCCAAGGTAGGCGGGCAGGGGGCGCACGCAGGTGCCTTACACCAGTGAATGTGTGTCTCAGCCTGCTGCACCCATCACCCCTGCTAGGCCAGGTCAGAGCAAGCATCCCCAGAACAGCTCCATACTCCCAGAGGTGCATGAGTGAAAGCCCTCCAGGGTGTCCTAGTGTTCGTCCCCCTCCTCCCAGAAAGCCCTGTCCTTGATGGTACCTCGTTCCTGGGCCATACCAGTGCAAGGTGCATCCCTGTGTGCCTCGATGGGATGGGAAGGGATGCCTCGTGGGTGTGATAGGGACGGGAGTGCTCTGGGCCCTCTCACTGTGGCTGTGTCCCCTGTGACGGCTCTACATGGCTGCTCACTGAGCCACTGGAGATAGACTGAGGCGCCTCGTCATCTCCAGCCTTCCCCTTGCGAGATGACCGGGACCCCAACACTACTATTCAGGTTAAGAAACTAAGAGCATGAGATCAGGTTCCAACCTGAAGGCAAAGCAAATAAAAGCCCAGAGGGAAAATTCTAATTCCTGGCCCTGCACTGAGGTCCCCCTTATCTATATCCCCGCCCCTGCCCCATCACGTGTACACCTGTGTTCAGGTGAGGTCATTAGAACAGATCAGCAGAGCAGAAAACGGTCCAGCCTCAAGGACCTTTCAGCTCCAAACTGCCTGCCTGGTGTTTGCCTTGACACCAGCTTGTCCTTGGCATGTGGTGATGTCCTTGGCACTGAGCGACTCCTCCAGCACATGGCAGGTAGGATGAGCAGAGGACTGTCAGAGACAGGTCTCTCCCTGCACTTGCCGTCTGGAGAAGCTGCCAGTCATGGCTTGTTGGAGAGGTGCTGGATGGGGGGGTGGGGGTGGGGTGGGGCGACAAACTGCTTCAAGCTAAAGTCCAATTCCATCTGGAGCATTATTTCTTTTGGTGTCCAGACTTCCATCCCTGGTGGCTGTCCCTGAGGAAGGGGCCCGGTGGGCCAGCAGCCTCCTTGCTCCCTGGTCAGCTGTGGAGAGACACAGCTGTGGAGGGAGCCCTAAGGGCTCCCCTTTTCATGACGGGGCTTCGGATGGTGTTGTAGGTAGATCCTTCTAAGTCCAGAACTCCCAAGTGACTCACACTATGGTGTTCTTGGAAGTGGTGGCCTGAAATGGGGCAGCATTGCTGTTCCCCATCACCGTGGCCACTCCAGTATGCTATCAGAGTTCCAAACAGAGCTCCAGCTAGGTGATGACCCCACCTCCTCTTTGGGGTTCCCCGCGCACATCTCCATGGGAGATGCAGCCCTTCTGGCTCCTGGTTGAATGGACAGTTCCACCCCCACGCCTGTGCCCCCCTGCAGGGTAACGCCTCCCGCTCTCCTCTCTGCCAGGTCTCCCCACAAGCCCAGGAGCCGGTGCTGACTGCCTCGCCCAGGATGCTGCTGCCCTCATCCTCCTCGAAGGCCCCAAGCGCCGGGACACCACTGTCCACCCACCACCAGATGCAGCTCCTGCAGCAGCTCCTCCAGCAGCAGCAGCAGCAGACACAAGTGGCTGTGGCCCAGGTTCTCTCCGCCTCCTGCCTACTCCGCAGGCTCCACCCTCATGGGCTGGACACGCCTTCCCTAGCGAGGGGCTCAGGGCAGGTCTAACACCTAGGGAGCTGTAGGGGGCGCTCGTGCTGTGGAGCATTGCTTGTTGGGGAGCAGGGGTAGGGCGGCAGGAAGGGGCCAGATGGGGGATGCAGAAGAAATGGAAAGAAACATTTGGTTTCCTGTGTATCCCCGCTCTGAGTTGGGCTTGGCTGGCTTGGCTGGATGTTGTTGGATTCTGGTTCAGAAGTACCAGGGAACAAGATGCACAGATGCTGCCCCTTCCCCCTTCCCTGCCTTTTCCTGGGAGGTGCCTGTGGGGTCTGGACAGGGATGACTGCTTTGTGATGCCGCTCTGACAAGAGTGTGAACTTGCGCCCACCTCCCCACAGAGACTCCCAGCTGGTATCCTACTCACCTTGCCCACACAGGGGTCCTCACCTCCTTGGCAGTCAATATTTGTCCCCACTTGGGACATTCATTCTAATGGGATTTAACTTACAGGAACTTAGGTGTTTTATTTGCACAACAATGAGATGAATGAGTTTCCATCTCCAGAGCAAGGTGGTCTTTGAACCCCCAAAGACTTGTGAGGCCCCTGCTGCTTTTTACCAGGATTCCTTTGTGTGCTTTCTGCCCAAGGCACCACGGTCCTTCTTGCCCAAGCTTTACCCAACAGTGGGCGGTCAGGTGGGGAGTGTGCATCAGTCCTGTCACTCAAAGGCTGTACCCTGCGGGGAGAGTCAGGGTGGATGGAGGCATGAGAGGCAGGGTCTTTGGGGGTTGGGGGTGTTGATGAGAGCTCTGGAAAGGCAGCTGTGTCTCAGCATTCTAAATCTGCTTGACCACACTAACCTCTGAGGTTCTCTGTTTTCTGATAGCAGGGGACAGAACCTCCCCTCGCCCCCGCCCCCATTTCTTCTGCTCACTCTTCTTCTCATGACCTTGGATAGACAGTCATCCAGACAGTGCTGTCCTTTTTAATATGCAGGCTTGAGGAAGCTTCCAGCAGCTGAAAGTTCCACCATCTCCTCTTGGTTCCCTACTAGCCCTACTGTGTGGGTTTGGAAGAAAGTTCTGATAGCACAGCCGTCGTGCCTGAGACACTGTGGGTGTCTTGTCAGTGGAGTTTCCACGAGAGGGGCAGTGCTGCAGGTTATTTGGGCCTTTGAAAAAATATTCTGACCATGAGACAAAGGGTCCCCAGTATTGCTGAGAAGATTGCTGATGTTCCCTAAACACAACAAGGAGGAACAGTGTCGCTAATGGCTTCTTCATTGGGGATTGGGGAATGGAATCATTCCTCTTTGTCAGATAACAAAATTCATCCCTGCTAGTTAATGATGGCACAGTGGTCCCCAGAACTCCCCCCTCCACTGTGTGATGGCTGACAGGAACACAAAGCCTGAGCAGGGCTGTTCCATCATTTCCAAAGTTTCCTACTGAATAAAAATTCATTCTCCAATCATCCTACTTTTTCCCCTCCATCAGCATATCAATTGCCAAGTAATTATTATTTATCTAGGCATGGACTTGATGCATATTCATGATGAATATTATCAGGCATTTGAATTTGATGTCACTGCTAAATGCTAAAGAGAAAATGCTTAGTTGGTATTCTCTGCAGCTCACTTGCAACATGGTGTGTGGGTGCTAGGCTCCCCCAAACCAACAAACAGTTCCCAGAAACCAACAGGGCATGTAGGAATTCAGCTCAGTTCCAACACCATCTCCCTGGAAATAGGGCAGGTTTCACAGTTAACAACTCAGTCTCTCAAGACCACCCTCCCCTTTAAAAGGTGAGCCCCAGGTAAGCCTTCACTTCTGGCCCAAAGAATAAAAATCAGGGGCCTTCACCCCATTCTTAAACTTTATGTGCCCCTCACAAGCCCAGATTATTATCTGTGCTTCTGACCAGTTAGTTTTAAACCAGAAGTTCCCAGGACACCTACCTGTTTTCACTAATTTGCTCAATTGCACATACAACTCAGGAAACCTGTATACTCAGGAGATCACTGCTTATTACAGATGATACTGTATTGCAGTTAATATAGATTAACTGCCAGGTGGAAAAAAGGTGGGGCATAGTGTGGGAAAGGTGCTTTCATGTCCTCTCCAGCATGCCTCACTCCCCCAAATCTCCACATCTTTAGCAGTCTGGAAGCTCGACAGAGCTACCTCCTCTTGGATTTTTGTGGCGTCTTCCTTATGAAGAATTAATTAAGTTATTGGCAGTTGAGCGCTACATGTAGCCCTTTTCCCCTCCCAGGAAATGAGGGAGAGGGACTGAAAGTCCCACAGTCTCTTCTTGGTTTCCACAGCAATAAGCCCATGCCTGTCTCAGGTGTTTTCCAAAAGTTACTTCCAACTAACTGCACAAAGGACATTGTTATTGCTCGCAAACACAGGAAGTCCCAAGGGTTGGGTCGCTGTGAGACAGGAGCTGTGGATGAAGACCAAATAGTTATGAGAAATATATATTTCTCCTAAGTCATAGTATTGCAGAAACTAGTTGCAAATATAATCTGCATAACAATGTTGTGGAGGGAAGTGCTCAGTTTGCAAAATCCCAAGGCTCTAACTGAAAATAAAGTCTACACAATATTTACACAGTGTTTATTTATTTAGATAATCAAAGTAAGGATTCGAACCCAGGATGCCATCTGAGAGATTTTACTCAGTGAGAGCGATTCCAGTAAACATAAGTTAGAAGTTAGTTTTATAGCTAGGAAGTTAGTCACTGGCATCAAGAATATGGTTGTTCTTTATAGGAGGACCTTGTAGTTCTAAGTTATGACCACTTAAAAATACGTAGGTGCTGGAGGAAGGCCTGAAGGATAATCCCTTCCTTTCTAGAGAATGCACTGCACAGATGCAAAGCTTGGGTACCCGTTGCTGATCTTATCTGGCTCCATCATCGCTAGTGAGTATAAAGAGACTGGCTCTGCCTTGGCAGCAGAATTCCTGCAAAGTCTGCAGCATGGAGCTTGTTCATACTTAAGCCTGCGAAGATGGCTTTGCTCTCTTGCCTACTACACAGGGGAGGGACGGACAGGAAGTTTACCTGATGTTTACACAGGATGCCTCAGTTGGGATGACAGCTTATGGGTGGTTTCCTGGTGCAGCATCAAGCCTCTGTCTCAGTGGGACATTACAGCCCTGACCCTGTGTTAATTGCTGTTCAGGAAGACATAAACCTAGAGCTTGTGACCCAAATCTGCTGAGTGCACTTGACGGTGCCTTAGTCCAGTCTGAGTATGAGAAACTATGTGATTGAAAGGCTGCTACAGTTCATCACTATCGAACCTTGTTGAATGACTTGAGAAGGGTCATACACTTGCAAAATCATCAGTTTGAATAGGACCTTCTGGGTCTGGAATGTACTCATCTATCTTTTCTGCCTTCCCAGGGTGGCCTCTGGTCTGTTCTGTTTGTAGATTCCTTTAGTACCCAGGAATGCAGGGGAGAGGTTCCACCTCTCAACTGGCTCTCTATTCCTCCTGGGCCTTCATCCAAACTGGCTGTCAGGTTACAGGTTCTTCTGACACATTTCTTAACTTCTCCCTGTGTAGCTTGTGGTCCAGGGACTTGGGTTAGTAGATACGTCTTCAAGTCTAAACAATTTAATCAAATACGTGAATGAATTTACAGGTCTTCCTGGCATCTGTCATGCATTTCAAATGATCAAATCCAGCACACTTCGTGTCTGACTTTGGTGTTCAGCACGAGGTCAGCTTCTTGTTCTGTCAGACTCCACTGCCACCAAACCGCAAGGTTTCTATCTTTCTTCATTATACTACCAGCAGTCCCCAGGATTTCAACTACTGCAACGCCAGTACTTAAGGGGAAAACACATGTTCCCTTTCTCTTGGACTCCTGGGAACAACTCTGGGGTAAAGACAGTTTCTTGGGGGTCCCTTGTTGCTTTATTCAGCACTCCCACCACTATCACCATTTGTTCCCACAGCCAGATTGGGTTTCGCTGTTACCACTGGACCCAGCTAAGGTCTCCTTCGCGGTATTCTTATTTGGGCTATATATCAAGACCCCTCCTAGCTCATCCCCAGCTGACTTAGAGCTGGTTTAGAAGGCCTGTTGGGCCTGAAAGATAGCTGGGCACAGATGCTGTTCACCCAGCTCTTAAGCATTCTAGGTAGACCCTCATATAAACAGTGACTACCCACGGCCCTCTGACCACTCTCCCCACCCAGCATGAACCTTGCCTGGCTGCTCTAGCTTCCTGCATCCCGGCCTTTGAAGTTCAAGTGGGCAAATGAGAGTGTAGCAAAGCCTTGAACTAGAGTTTGGATGTGGCTGGCATATGCATGGCCATGGACTGGGCCCACCCAGCTCCAAAACTGATGTGGGCTCTGAGGCTGACAGGCAGCAGCTAAGTAGGCCAGATCCCCTCATGGTCTGCCAACTCCTGGCCTAGCTGGCGAGGAAAATGTTAGTGCCGCTCAGTGTTGCTATTTATAGATTTCTCTTCTACCTGCAGCCCCTTGTGCTTTGTGATGGTGTGTGCTGTCATTAGTTTGAGGAATCACTCTTAAGATACCCTGCATCCCCACCCGAGGCCTTCGATTTAGCTTCTGTCCTCATGGCTTTCCCAGTCCCTGGCACCCTGGATGCACTGCCCAGGTCCCTGCCTTGTGCATGTGAGACAGCACCACCTGCCTCTGCTCTGTCCAGTGTGTGTTGGGGGAGGGGGGCAAATCGCTCTGGTTCTCTCCACTGCCATTTCCATGTGCCTGCTGCTCCCTAACGTCAGCCTGGCCCTGCCCCCACTTCTCATGGAGGAGCTGGAGTCCAGGCAAGTAGGCCGGAGAGCGACTGGGCAGTGGTCTGGTGCTGCGGGGTGGATTAAGGGTGGGTACCAGCATTTCAGAGGTGCAGGTTTGAAGTTATGCTTTGTAGTGCTATCACCAGAAGGCACAGCCTGACAGCCTCCAGGCATGGCCGGCTGCTGACTTATGGGGCCAGAATGGTGCCTGCAGAGGCAAGCCCCAGCAAGGACATGCTAACTTGTACCTTTCCGGAAATTAATATGGCCTACCTTTGCAAAAGGTGTTTCATTCTTTGAAAGAAAAGGCCAACTGCAAGTACATCTCCCGTCTGGTGGGGAGGAGTCGGTACTTTCTGTTGGTGTTTGTGGTGGAGAAAGCGAGCACCTGGCCCCAGTGCAGACCGCCAGCCAGGACTGGAAATAACACCATGTTATTTCAGTGCCTCAAGGCCAGACCTAAATATTATAAGACACAGGGACTGTTAAAATGCATCGAGTATAAAAGTTCTGTCTCGGTGTGGCCTGGTGTGGGTTTTCCTGTGGTGCGGGTGGTAGCAATTGAGGTGGTGGACCTGGTGTCTGATGCTGACTGATATCTGCAGTGCACCAGCGTGCGCTCTGCATTGCCAGGGCTTGACAGCACCTGCATTGTGCTCACTCCACCTCTACAATGCTCAAGTTCTTCTGACTCTGTGCAAGCAACGCTCAAAGTCAGAAGTGTTTTCTCATGATGTTTGGTGCCAGTGGGTTTATGGAGAAGCGTTTGACCCAGGGGACTTCTTGTTTGGGGTGATGGCTCCTTCACCACTGGAACTGGATTGCCTGTAAAAGAAGCTTCCTACTTTGCTTCCCTCCCCGCCCACCCACCCCCCCAGCTTCTGAAGCAGGGAACTCTGTGGTGTCCCCAATCTTAATTCCCTGATTTCCCAATGGGGATTTCGGGGTCTTCTTCACAGAGCCTTTAATGCAGAGCTGCTCGTACTCTGCCTGTGTCTACCCGATACAGAGGCATAGATGCCTCAGCATAGTCTGCTGAATGGAGACATTACTGTTAGTCCCCAGGGACCATCCAGCACCCTGGAGCATTCCAGCCCTTGGCTTGACCCTGCCGTGGCCGGTTCTATCAGGATTTTCAGTTGCAGAGTGCAAACACCCAATGGTGTGGTGTGTGTGTGCCAGATCTCACTCTAAGGGCTGTTTCGCTGTAGGCAGAAACAGAATATTCTGCTCTCTCTGTTCATACACACCTAAAATTTTGTTCCACTCATGTTTCTGTTTCTGCCAAAGAATAATGAAGGATTTTTCTGTTCAGTAGAGTCCTTCCTGCACTCCTCTAAGTTAAAATAAGTAACGATGCTCATGGGTGGACGAGTGAGATGATGCTTCCTTTGGGGATACTCTGGAGGGCCCTTCCCAAGGCCATTTTCCCATATTTTAGAACCAAGAGGATTTGGGGGACTCCTGGGGATAGTCCATGCTTAATTTCCAAGGAAGGTAAAGGCTTAGTAGCTACATGTCACCCTCTATCGAGATTAAAATATATCTCTGCCCAGTTTCCTATTCACACCCATCTCTAGACCTCTGCTTAGTTTTCATGAGGTAGAAGATGAGACTCATGTCTCCACTCACAAGGTCTTGCGGGGGCAGATTTCCTTTGCAGTCCTTAGTAGACCTCCTTCCTGGAGAAAGACCCAGCCTTGGGAGTCACTAATGGGAAATGGCACCTACTCTCCTTAGCTACTCACTAAAAGCAGCACGCACTGCAAGGCCAGGGCCTCAGATCTGCATGGGGGGTGGAAGGGACAGCTGTGTACCCCAAGTGTCATTCTGACTGCTGGCTATGGAGGGTCCATGCCGGTAGCAGGGTCCTGTCAGGCTCATTGCACTGTGGGTGACACAGTCTTCTACTCCCTGATAAAAAGTGTCTTTGGAGCAACCTGTTCTTCAGAGATTCCAAGTAATTGTTACCTTAGCAGGAGAATCACCTTCTTTGTAGACCATTCTTCCGTCCCTCCTGCCTGCCTGGCCCAAGTCACTGCACCATGGTTTTGGCCCAGGAAAACCTTCTTTCCCACCTGGGCCCAGGCTACCAAATTCATTAGCTTCCTTTCTTCAGCGGGCCCTCTGCAGCTCTCCACAGAGACAGGCATTCCCCCGTCTTAGACAAGAATCCCACATGTGATCATTATTACTGGCTTGAGACTCAGTTTCTTCAAGCCAGTACTCGCAGTCCTCGCCCCCATATTCTTGCACTGAGTTTATCCCCATAGCCAGATCACATACCAGGAAGACCCTCCTGGGCCCCAAGCTTAATGGGGGTGCTGTTTCTGGCTGCTGTGCTCTGACCCCTCGTCACCCAGTGTGAGGTGCAGTCCTGGGAAATAAAACAGAGTCCATGAAAAGGCAGAGAGCTGATTGCAGACATGAGTAGATGGCCTTTGCCAAGACCCCTTCCCTAAAGTAGAAAGGGGGTGTGGAGTACTCCCCATTTCTCCTGGTGCTGGGTCTGAGGAAGGGGAGAGAAAGATTTACAGGGTTCATCATGAAGTGGTTCTTAGCTAGTGGGTCAGCATATCAGTTTTTGGTTTTGAAAAGACAAGATGAATAAAAGGCACAGCCATCAACACAGCTGGCGCTGCAGGAATTTTCCTGATAAAGCCGAGGGGCAGTGGGGGGCAGGGATGGCTCTTCTTGCCACTCTCAGTCACTCCCTGAAGCCCCCAGTGACTCACGAGGGACATACAGAAATCCACAGGCCAGGGTCCTGGTTCCCCCCTGCGTCCGCCCCGCCTGCAGTGCTAACTCGGGCACCCTTTTGGCCTATACAGGGCTCTTCACTGTGAAATGAACATGGAAAGCACTTCCGGTCCCTGCCAACCTCCTTGACATTTGTTTACATTCATATCCCTCTCTCCTGTCTGTTCTGTCTTCTCTCTGTCTCTCCCATGTCCCGCTCCCTGCAGGTCCACTTGCTGAAGGACCAGCTGGCTGCGGAGGCTGCAGCGCGGCTGGAGGCCCAGGCCCGCGTGCACCAGCTCCTGCTGCAGAACAAGGACATGCTGCAGCACATCTCTGTGCTGGTGAAGCAGGTGCAGGAGCTGGAGCTGAAGCTGTCAGGACAGAACGCCAGTAAGTCAGCCCTGCCCTTCCCCGTCTCCCAGGAGGTCTGGGAATATACATTATTTCCCCTGAAGCTTTCAGAACCTTGTCATGCCCCGGGATTCTAAAACAAAGGCTGCTTTGTTCTTCAGCCATACATTTCATGGGATTTTAGAGTGGTAGGGCCAGTGGGAACCAGGCTGCCACCCACTCGGGACCGGACTTGGCCTTGAGTGGCCCAGTTGCCCCTGGCACAGGTCTGGGCTCTCATCTTCCTGAGAGTGCTTCCCACAGAAGTCTCCTGACCATGTCCTGTGCGGCTGGCCCTCTGGGCGATGTCAGACTCGTCAGACTCAAGGCTCACTGTCCACACTGTTCCCGAGCAGAGCTGGTAGCAGTCTCCATGGTGAAGAAGGCAGGAGTTTGTGGCCATAGCTCTGCTCGTGAGTAGCGAGGCTGCCTGACCCTGTATCTGTACCTGGCCACTTTTAGGCTGCACCAGAAAGTTCTGGATGGCAGCACATTACCAGACCTTCCTCACAAGACCTTATTGGGTGCTTGCATGGATGGTCAAAGTGGGTGCGTGCTTGACATTTGTTTGCATTCATATCTGCTGATGACCTACTATGCCAGAACCTATGCTAGAATTGATGTGATGTGAGCTTGTCACATCCAGGAGGGGTCAATGTCATTTTGCCACTTTTGCAAAGGAGAAAAAAGATTCAGAAAGTTAAAGTATTTAGGTCAAGGCTACAGGGCTACCAAGGCATACAGCCAAGATCCAAACCTAGCTCAAATTGTAAAACTAAGGCTCTCCCTATTATATCTTTCTTCCCCCCCCCCCAAACTAACCTGTGAGCTTTAGAAATGATGGCATCCCCAAGCCTGACCCACAGGCTGTGCATGTCACCACCCTGTCTGCCACCCTGGATGTTTCAGCTGTGTTTGCAGGGAGCCTACGCCACCCCATAGACCCCATTTTCAAGGGCATACATCAGGATTAATTTGAACCTTCCCCTACACACACTGCACTCCAGGCTTGCACAGGCTTCCCGTGTCACTCAGCACTTGATTATGCTTTGACTGTGTTTCGGGGCCTCCTCCCAGCCTGGGGCTCTAGGACTGCGTGAGGGTGGAAGGCAGACTGCACTGCTGGGTGGTGGGGGGCTGGCCCCTCCCCTGGACCTGACTTTCCCCCTCCTTCCTTTGCAGTGGGCTCCCAGGACAGCCTGCTGGAGATCACCTTCCGCTCGGGAGTGCTGCCTGTGCTCTGTGACCCCACCACACCCAAGCCAGAGGACCTGCCTTCACCACCGCCGGGTGCTGGCTTGGCTGACCTGGGCCCCCCGGTGGGCAGCCCCCTAGGTAGGCGAGAGCGCTGGGTGAAGCTGGAGTGTTTCCGCTTCCTGCCGCCCGAGGACAGCGTGCTCCCGGGCGGCCTGGAGCTCTTCAAGTTTCGCGAGTCGGGCATTGCCTCGGAGTACGAGTCCAACACAGACGAGAGCGACGAGCGAGACTCGTGGTCTCCAGAGGAGCTGCCCCGCTTGCTGAATGTGCTGCAGAGGCAGGAGCTGGGGGACAGCCTGGACGATGAGGTGGCTGTGTAAAGGCCCCTGGCGGGCCGGTGTGCACAGCCAAGGATGCCTGGGGCTGGAGGGTGTGCCGTTCAGGAAGGGTCAGGATTTGGCTTTGGAAGTTAAAGTGGGGGAGCAGTGGGATTCCAGGAGTGAATCTCCTCCCCTCTCCTAGTTGTGACTACAGGGGGGTAGCAGGCCTTCCCAAACCCAAGACTTTGGGACAGGGTCCCTTTCAGAACCACCAAGCTGCTGAAGGACCTGCTCCCTGCCAGCTGCACCATCAGGCCCCTCCTGTGTCCATCATGTGGTGCCCCCCTCCCGTCTCCACGGTCCCGACCATAAAGGGAAGCCATCGGTACCTCCTCAGGTACCTTGTTTGGGTGTCAGGATGCTACCAGTTGCCTAACCCTCCCTGACCTTACAGGGGAGGGAGCCTTGTCTAGGCCCTTAAGAGATTGTAGAGGTTGAATGTTCTTGCTGGGGAAGATAAGTTGTCCTGTTAGTGTGAGTGTGGGATTGGGAGGGATCATGCTTGCATGAATTGAATTCAGACATGGGATGTCAGATGTGACTTCAGAGGAAGACTGGGTGTGAATGGTGTCCAGGCCCTGGAGTGGGAGCCAAGGGGAAGGACAGCGTGCTCCTGCCACAGACCACTCTGATTCCTCAGGGTGGAACCCTGACCCTTCTGCCACCAGCCCACTCCTCTGCCTGGACACAGGGAAGCTGACCTTTCTCCTAAAAGTCTTGCCCAGGGGCAGTCATTTGAAGCCTTTATGGTACCCTCACCTCTGTGTGAAAGACCTGAGCCCCAGCCCTCCCTCTAAACCTGTCCCCTCCACTGGGCAATAGTGGTCACTTTTTTGCTGAAGAAGAAAAACGAACACAGGCAGGTTGCTAGATTGTTCATGTCCACTCAGAATCACTGCCACTGGTCAGGGACCATTGCCATGCTGCCGTTGGCTCTTCTCTGTAGGTGCAAGCCTTGGGCACCCTGTCAAAAGTGCTACATGCAACTCTTTTATCTTTGCCATCCAGGCCTTGCCTGAGGGTTGTCACTTGGCACAGTGGCTGGGCAGGGGGGATGGGCCCTTATGCGCCAGTAGGACCAGAAGTGACTGGTAACACAGATTGAATGGTGCCTGAAGAGAAGGCCGAGTCTTTATCCTGGACATGCTACAGACCTAACCTGCAGTATTACTTAAAGGCCAGTTTGGTAAGATGTGGTTGCTGCAAAGTGGAGTTCTACAACCATAACTTTGCTTTCTAATTTAGATCAATGAAAAGTACAGCCCTTTACTTAAACAGTTGAATATCTTCTCGACCAGGAAGTCCAAACTAAAGGAAGTAAACACAGCATTATGTTCCTCGATGTCCCAGATGTCAGTGGAGGTAGAATGGTGTGTGTGTGTGTGTGTGTGTGTGTGTGTGTGTGTGTGTGTGTGTGCGCGCACGCGCGCTTCTGTATACATGTGTTGGGGCAGGTGTGTTTGGGTGAGCTTATGAGGAGTGACTGGAGAGGGTGGGAATTTCCAGGGTATTTGGTTCAACAATAGATCTGTGATCTTTCCCTAATGTGTATTTAGTTGGAGAGTGATGGTTCTGTTTATTTGTTGTATTCTGTAATTAACCACTGGAAGTAGGTCCAGGTAGGAAAGGAAAGAACCAGGAAAGTGAAATCTTTGAAACCAAAGGAGCAGCAGAGGCCAGAAATCCAATTTGGCTGAACCTGTCTAACACAAAACCTTCCTTCAGTTTGGGGATGTTCAGTCTTTCTAATTTTGATGTTTAATGGGGTATAAGTCTGGCTTCTCCCGGCCACCTGCCTGCAAGCAGGAGTTGAGAATAAAGCCAGAGCCAATGTATTAGGTGTGGGAGGGAATGGGATAAGGTTTGGGGAGAACGTAGTTTCTAAGAGGGTCTGGAAAAGTTTGCAAAGAAAAAGGAGGTGAGATGGAAGAATTGGAAACACTGTAAACCTAACGGGAGGAAAGCGGGGGACTCATTCAAGCCCCCTTTCGGAGCTCTTGGTGATTTCTGCTGCCTCTGTTGTCCCGACACCCTCCTGGAGCACTGGTTCACATGTTGGTCTCCTCCCCGGAGTGGCTTGAGTCTGCATACACTGGATGTGTAGAGATGGGCGATGAGGACCTCCATATGTACTTGCTGGCCTGGAAGGGAGCATTCTAGACCTGCGCTCCCGATGGTGTGGTGATACCTGCCCTCCTCCCTCTTCACTTCTCGCTCTGCTAACTCAGCTCCTGCCTTCCTTTCTTCCTTCTGCTCTGCCTGGCATGGAGGACAAGTGAATACCAGGGCCACCTACCCTATTGACACCTGCCTGGCCCACCCAGCTGACCCTTAGGCATGGAGGCTCTCATAGCTGAGGACCCAGAAAAGAATTTCTCTGACCAAGATGAACTGTATGTGGGACTGACAACTCTGCTCCTTACTCCTGCTTTTCTCGACGCTCTCTGTAAAACCTCGTCTTAGCCCCACTTCTCTCCATGCTCGTTTAGCTGTGTTCCCTTTACTGATTCTTCACCTGACTGCTTCTTCCCCACCCCACAACTACTTCCTAAACCTGTTGTGTCATTAACTCTGCTGGCTCAACTCTGGGAAAAGATTCTGTTCATGTAAGTGCACTTACTCCCTGGATGTTGTCACTAGTCTAGTGGCTTTTGCTAAATAAACCTTTCTTATTTCTAAAAGCTTTCCCATTGTCTTTTCTTTCTGCTTCTACTCCACCTCCTCCTCCTATCCCCCCACCCCATGGCTCCTGCCACCTGCACCCTCCCTCCCAGCATTGACTCTGAGACATTTCTTCATTCCTAGGGGGTGGTGTTTAGAGTGAACTCACACTTTCCCTGTGGGAGGGCTTGGGCGGGGGGCAGTGGCCCTTTCAGTCAAAGTTGAGAGAGATCAGCCTCGGGACAGGTGTACGTGGTTTGTGTGGCAGGCCAAGTTTACTCCCTGAGGGACAGTAGGTGGTACTCAAGACAGTTGTAGCTGTCAGACTGGGGAAGGGATGCTACTGGAATGTAGCAGATGGAAACCTGGGCCACTGATAAACATTCCACAGTGCACAGATGGACCCTGCGGCAAAGAACTGTCTGGTCCCAAATGTGGGCAGCACTGAGGTCAAGTAAACGTGGTCTGTACCCGGGTTTTTAGACACAACCCCAGGTCTTTTGAAATACGCAACATCCCTGGGATTTACAGATATTGGCAGCACATTCTGAGTCTTTAAAAAAACACACCATCGTCTGTGTTTTCAGATAATAGCTTAGAACACCGAGATTATAAGATTTCACTGGCTTCCTGACTAGACAGCGGAAGTAAATGGTAGGATTCTGAATGGACCTGTTCCAGAAACATCCATATGCCAAGGTTCCACAGACTCCCACATCCACCTAGAAGACATCATGCTACAGGGTGTCTTGGCGACCTGGACCTGGGCTTTTCCTGCCCTGGAGAGTAGAAGTGAAAGGCAAGGAGGACATTGCTCTCAGGGGTGCCTGAGAAACAGAGCTCAGGGTCTTGTGATGTGAAAGAAATTACTCTGGGTGGCTCTTCCGGCTGTTTGGAAGGCAAAGGGAGAGTTCAGCCTGGACACTTGGTCAGACCCGGGCTGGAAGAGAGTTGGGAAGCAGGCCAGCCAGTTTCTTCCCCCCCCCCCCACCCCCATGGCCTTTCTTGGATGAGTGATCTGAACTGTGTTTTATTTTCTCATCTGAAAAAGGAGGGTAAAATATACCACCTAAGGCTATTATGAGGTGAAAATGAGCCTGCATTTTAAAAGCACCCAGGAGCAGAGGGCCTGGTAACCAGGCATTGCACGGTTACTGTCTCATTCACCCAGAAGGCTGTGCCACTGCGGGCAGCACACCCCTGCCCGGGGGGCTGTGTTGACTGTGCAGACGTCCCTCAGAGCCCCGCACAGTTCCTGGGATCCTACAACCCTGGTGAGAGGTGAAGCGTGCAGAGTCACCCTCTCTGGGGAGACACGCACCACGAGAACTGCTGTCAGGCAGATGGCACTGACCTGTGTGCTGCACTTGGGCCCAGCCCTTCGTGCGTGTCCCTGCCTGTGACTCGGTGCCCTGGCACAAGAGGCGAAGGCAGCAGATGCCAGGTCCTTTTTCGGTTTGCCCTCAGAACATGGTCAGGGTACACATGACTTGAATAAGGAAAAACTTGCGGGCTTGACTGGCTTTTTCCCACTGACAGGACAGGAGGTCAGACAAGACTTGTTCACTGTGTCTTCCTTGGGGAGCCAGGCCGAGGGAAGGATGTGGGTACTGCCCTGGCGTAGCCCCCCGGGCTGAGCTGCCAGGGGACTCTGTGCCCATCTGGACCCCAGGAAAGGTGGACTCAGGGACTCAGAGCCAGGCAGCATGTGGAGTGGTCTCACCGCCTAGGGCCTGATGGGGTTGGAGCCCAGCCACTCTCATTCTGGGGAACAAAGGCCCAAGCAGATGTTTTCATATGACAGAGGTAAGAACTGGCAGCCTTGTGAACCCATGTGGTGGGGCTTCAGGTCTCTCAGCGTGAGCACCGGAAGGGTCAGGGTACCTCCTCCCCACCTACTGCCCAACAAGTTGTGGAGGCAGGGGTACCAGAGGTTGGTGCCAGGGTCCCTGGAAGGAAATTCCCTCTGCGGTGCCAGATGAAATGCGGTCAGCAAGCATCAGCTGTTGTCTGTGATCTTTTTTGTTTCACTTAAGTCACATCATGGACAACTGAGATGTTCTCTGCCCATTTTTTAGTCAGAGATGCCAGGGGAGTTGGCCCGGAGTGAAGTAAGGGTCTGCAGCATGCAGTGCTCACTGCCTGCTTGATTTGATATGACTCACATGACATGGGCAGAGAGGCCCCTGCGGTCAACTGGCTCTGCTCTGCTGTAAGAACTGCCCCTTCCAAGTGCCCTGTAGACCTAGTCCTGTTGGCCAATTTGCTGCCTTACTCCAGGCCTCTTCCTCCTCTGAGCACACCAAACAGCTAAGAAGCGTCCAGACTGCAGGTTCTGCTAGTGGAGGTTTCCCTATGCCAACAGGAAGGGACACGCACCCTTTCCACCAGTGCCATCTCCTCCACAGAGGGGCCAACGAGCTCTCTCAAATGGTGCCTCTCCGCTGAGGGCTGTACCAGAGTCGCCCAAGTCTGACTCGAGTCTGAGTGGGCCTGAGACTTGTCCTTCTGACAGATTCCCGGGGGTGGGGTCCTGTAGGTCGGGACTGCCCATGGAGAGCTTCCCCTTGGGGTATATCCCTTGGAGGAGAGGGGCCGGGAGGTAGGCCTGGTGTCTCCTGGCATCGTTAGAGGATGGGAAACAGGCTGAGGTCTAGGGGAGATGACAGGAGCAGCCAGATGACCTTGGACTTGACAGAGGCAGACACTAACTTGGATTTATTGACCTCTCTTTAGAGACATAAATAGGCTCCAGCCTGTTTCCCTGAGGTGTCCGCTAACAAGGTAGCATCTGCCCTTTGGGGGCTACTTGAAGGCCTGGGCACTGCCTGTAGAGCGCCTGTCCCCTGGCCTGGCCTTCTGCTCCTTGCCCCAGAGGGACTTGAGCTTGCGGTAGTACACCTTGCAGCTGAAGCCCTCCTTGAAGCCCCCCCTGATGTGGCTCTTGAGGGAGTGCAGGGTGGGGTACATGCGGCAGCAGGCCACACACTTGAAGCCGCTCTGCTGTGGCGGGTGCCACCTGCAGGCCTCTAGGATGTCCTCGGACGTGATGTAGTCCACTGAGTCCAGGCTGTGCTGGGATCTCTCGGTGGCCTCTCGGAGGCAGGTGTTCTCTGGGGAGGAAGAGGATGATCGAAGGCTCTCAGCCACATCCTCAGGGAAGCAGCTGTCCCCCCTGCCCTCGTCCTGTTGCACCTCTGGCAAGTTGTAGGCCTCCAGGTGGCTCTCCTTGTCTTTGCACACGAAGTAGCTGTAAGGAGAGAACCAGGGCCGGTAGATGGTGCAGTTCCGCCTCAGTTGCTCCCCATTCTGGGGGTCCCCCAAGATGTAGTCTGCAAAGGAAAGGGCTGCGGCTGAGCAAGGCTGAGCAAGGCTGTGGCAAGACGCAGACAGGCTAGAAGGCAGGTAGGCGTGACCTGAAGTCACCTCCACCCCACCTTGCCACGCTGGGAACAGAGGGTAGGGTGGGGAGGCGGGATGGCAAAGACCCGTGGGGTTCCATGCCTGGGCAGACTCCCCTTTCCATCACTAGGCTTGGACATCTGTCCCATGTGTCCCTTTCTGCAGACACCCTTCCTCTGCCTCCTGATAGATTAGTGACTCGCAGGCCTCCCACCACAGCCTCCCACAGGCCCTCATTCACCACCAGTGTGACCATTTTCCCATCCTCGCTGTCCATCTTCCCTCCACCTTCCACTGCCCAACATCCCACTCAGACAGAAAGTGCCCCTCCATACACACTGGAGAGATGAGCACAGCAGCCAGATCTCTCCCCAGGCCTAGGGGTTGCTGCTAAGAGAAGAGCTGCATAGAATTCTACAGGGAAAGGTAGCATGTTGCCTGGTTCAGGCATTCCCTCATCCCTCCTGGGGGAGCAGCCCTGGTCTCCCCAGCTTTCGCACCTCTGCCCACCCAGAGTGGAAGGAGATCTCACCTGGCGAGAGCACTGTGTTAGGCACCCCGTGCCGGAGAATGCTGCTTTTGTACTGGGGCTGCAGGGTCTGAACTGGGATGGAAGCCTCCGTGGATAATGCAGTCTTTGTAATGTCTGGGTTACAGAAGAAGCACTCTGGTGAGTGGAACAAGGTCCTCTTCTACGGACCCTGAAAGACCTCCCTAGAGACTCAACCTGGGTGCATGAAGGCATTGTAAAGCCACAGCAAAAGCTTTGGTCTCACTTGCTCCCAGCTAGGCAGAGATATTCTGGATGACATCTGGGGGGTTCTAAATAAGGCAGTCTCACTGGCCTCTCCAAGACATGCGCCACGTGATCTTGTGGCCTGGCCCACCCAGGTTTGGCCTCCGGCAGGTAGCTCCTCACTCCCATGGCTTCATTCTGCATCATAGCTCCTCTGCACTCCAGAGTCAGGGAAAGAGTGTATGGGGGCACTCCATTGCTCTGTTAGGGATCCCGTTGAGGGTGGGAAGCTGTTTTCTACAACTGAAATACCTCCCACATAGCCAGGAGTAGTTCTGTGGCCCAGCCACCTGTCACACCTCAGGATTGCTGCCGACATTTGGGTCACTGAAGGCTGACCCCTCTCAAAGCCCAGAGCAGTAGTTGAGCTCAATTTGGGGCCTGGATGTGCACATGTCCTAGCATAGACAGGTGTGTGTTTAGGGGGTGCCACTCCACAGAGCCTTCCTGCTCACACTTTTCATAGGAATCTCTGGCAAACTTGTTCAAAATGCAGATTCCAATTTAATGAGTCTAGGGCTGGCCAGAGAGCCTGCATTTCAACGAGCTCCCAGGTTGAGATATGGGTCCAGGACCACACTGCATAGCAAGTGCTCAGGGGATCCAGCTTGAATCCTCATGTGTCAGTCACCTGTCTCTTGGCTGCCTGCTAGTGGACTGACATCTACATCTCTAGCCTGTCAGCTTGTCAAAACAGAGCTAAATCTAGCACCTGCTAACAGGTCATCATCTTGAGATTCTAGAGGAAAAAGACTTAACAAAGGCTTCCCCCATCCTGCCCTTGTCAGAAATGAAGAAACAGCAGGGACTACTTACCGTCAATGAAGTATTTTGAAAAATTATTTTCTCCCCATGTGTAATTTGACTTTCTCACTAAATCGAGGTCCTGTAACATGGTCTGGTAGATACTCAATTAAAAGCTTCAAAACACCACATTTTTGTGGCCCTAGAGGCACCAGAGTTTACCTGGCAAGCTGGTGGCACGTGAGGACATAATGTCAGGGAAAGTGCTCAGGGTAGAGGAAGACATTCGAGGTCCAGAAATGCTGAGGAGTGAGAAGTTCTCCATGTCTGACTAGCGTAGGGTATGACGGCACACACTGCTCCCTGGAGGCCGGCCGGGTTGTCCAGGTGACAAACATTCTGAGCCCAGCTGACATCACAAGTTCACATGATTCCATTCACCAGGTAGGGGCTCCCTCAGGGACGGGGCTGCTGCGGGCAAAGGTGACCTCTTCAACCATTTGTTGGCCTGTCCTTCCTCAGTGTCTTACCGTGACGAGGACACCCAGAGAGAAGGGAGAAACGTGATCCTTTGTGGTTTAGCATCTCTTCTGTGTCATGCTCTCCTCCCACACCCCTGTCACCTTCCTGTCACCCCACATGGCTCTGGAGCTTCTTCCTTGAATGACCTTCTTTCTTGTCTTCTGCTTCATCTACCTGGCTTCTGCCATCCGATATTTTTGTCATTTTGCTTCTAAAAGGTAAAAAAATAAAACGAGTCCACAGAACATCATAGGTCCCGTATCCACATTGTCCTGTTAACATTTTACCCCGCTTACTGTAGAACTCACTCCCTCACCTCTCTCTTTCTGGGTGTACATCCACTTTTTGTAACTACTTGAAGGTAAGTTACAACACAGCTCCCCTTATGCCTAAACACGTCAATGCATACTCCCTAAGAATAGGAACTGGGTATTGTTTTCAATGACTGCTCCTGTTTATTTTTAGCAAATGACTAAAGCCCAGTGGGTGGCTTACTCAGTACCATCTTGCTCGTTACAGGCACTGTGCTGGTGAGACCTGGGCCAGAGTGGCAAGGCTGCCCCCTTCTCGCTGCATCACATGCTGTATAACATCCTAGCTCACATGGGAGGGGGATATTTTTGCTCATACTAATTTGAAGATCAAACCAAGGTACCCCGTTGTAGGTAATCATTACACTTTCAACTCGATGCCTACAGTGCATCAGACTTAAATGTGGTGTGGGTGTGCTGCAGGACAGTCGGCCAGTCCACACGTCCCCACCTGACAGCGCCAGTCGAGGCGTGTGTGAGCATCTGTGCATGTGAGTCAGAATTGGCTTCCTGTTTGGATTTACAGTGTTTAATGTTTGCAGGACACTGTGGAGAACACAGCTCCCTTGGGTGCCTTCCTTGCAGGCTGTTCTGGAACATCAGAATACGACGGAATAGAAATTAATGCCGTAGATGTACGTTGGCAATGTTGAGGGTGTTGGCAAGTCCCTCTGGCCCTGGTACAGAACGGTGGTGGGTCAGCCTGTGCATGTTCCAGTCCCCACTTGCCAGCGGCTCCCCTGTGGACTAGGCAAACCCCTGTGGACCTGGGTTTGTGTTAATTTGGACATTTGGGTGGACGAGCATCCCCCTGGTCCCAGTCTGGTGATGGGCCCATGGCAAGGAGAGGGCATGGTAGTGAGTGAGGCCAGGAAGATGTGGAGGCCTTAAATTCCAGCCTTCCTGCAACTTCGGATGTACTTACCTTTAGGGTCTGGAAACATCGGAGAAACATGGGTGGCTGCAGCAGCGCCCATGTGCAGTTTTCCAGTTTTGATGATTGAAAAGTTCATGGGAAACTGGTCACCCTGGATGGTGACACTCCAGCCTCGGTAGTGCATGCTGGAGCCCCTTGGTGTGTTGGTGATGGTGGCCTGGCAGGAGGTGGCCATCCACAGTGGTCGTCACTGCATAAAATGTGTCTCTCTCTTGTTTGTTTCCCACCTGCTTTCCGAGCCCCTTTCTCGGACAGGTAAGACACCATCTTTCGTTTGGATGACTTGTTCCCCAGGTGGTCCCCTTTGCTTGGATGTGCATGTTGGGGTGCCGGGGGAGGGAACCCAGCTGGGATGCAGTCACCTCTCTCTTTGCCATCACATTCCTTACTGCACCACCATCCTCCAGTCCTGAGGGCCGAGCAAAGTCACAGGTGCCCTCGACACACGGTGCTCATTGTCCGTGCTTGGGCCTGGAGGTGATGGAAGGTGTCCCCATTTGGGAGACAAAGGCAGTTTCTCCAGGCTTGACCTCAAAAGCCCCTGCAGAGGCCACTCCAGGGGGAAGAGGGGGTGGGGGTTGAGTAGACTTTGCAAATGGAAAAAGGCTCAGGGATCTTTTCTCCATGATGTCAACTCACTGTGCAGTTTGTAAATATTTACATAAAATGTCGATCCAGTTAGACTAGCAAGTCTAGTGTAAGGTCCTGTGCTGGTGTAGAGAAAGCACTTCAGAGGCAGCATTACCCGGAGGAGTTAGCACGGGGTTCTAGAGAATGAGGAGTGTTAAGTAGTGAGACCTAGAGATTTTTAGGGAGACAGAGAGACTGCATGATGGGCTCTCTATACATTACTTAAGATCAGTATATAGATTCTGAAGGCAGAGAACCAGAAATCCAGGAATTCCAAAATAGTGCCTAACCTGAGTTGTTTATGTTCATTAGACTGTGTTTTTTAAAGAATAGTAAAAAGAATCTCACAGTTTACAAGTCACGTTGACAGGTGATTTTGTGCTTACACTTTTAGAAATGAGTGTGTCTGCTATAAAATTTTATTTAAAACAAGAGGGACATCACCATAGAAACTGTGAGCCATGAGGCCAGGGGGAATTTGCCTTCTCCAGAGTCTCTCTTGACATTTTTTTTGGTTCCATGGTGGCCCCCCAACTTCCTGATTTGGGGGAAAATAGTAGATGCTTTCATTTTGAAAGGCTTCTCTGTTAACTTGCAGGTTTCATGGTTAAAGAAAAATTTCAAAGATGTGGGACACAATAGGCAATTTTGGAAAGATGGCCAGCATGGACGATCCCATAGGGACAGCACCCAGAGTGGCTAGTCCTGCTATGGATAGACTGGCAACGCCTGCATGGGTGGGGGTGCGTCTGGGACCGCCAGCCTGAGCCGGTCAGCTGTGTGAGCCTGGGCTGTACTTAGGGGTGTCCCTGGTGTGTTCCCTGCAGTGGGGCTTTCCCTGAGGTAGGTCATGGGCAGTTCCAGGGGTGAGGGTGATGGAGCTCATTCACAGGGAGATCCCCACCACTCCCCTCTCTACCAGCTGGCCAAAGACCCTTAGAAGATGGCTTATTTAGGTCATTGGCTCAGAAGGGAGACCAGCAAAGGCCTCTCCCTGGCCCAGGACTCAGCAGTATGGAGCAGCGTAACCCAGTCTGTGACTTCTAGAAATACTCAGTGAGAATACAACCACCTCAGTAGAGGTATTGTCAGAGAGAGAGGCCCAGTGGTCAAATGTAACCTCCTTTGCTCCCAGGTTAACAAAATATTTGGGGTAGTTGGTAAGGGAAGAGCCTCAGGCCCATTTTCAAGGCCAAATGGGTCTGGGTACCTTGGAGACTAAACTGGATTTCCAGGTGAGCAAAGAAGGCCCCAGAGAGAGAGAGAGAGTGGACAGCAAGGCTTAGAGCCCTGAGCTCCAGCTGTTCCAGCAGCAAACTCTGGAACTAAGATCTTGACCTCCACAATTCTACCTCTGCAAAGGGGCTTTGGCATGGCGAGATACTGATTGAGCACCAACTGTGTGCCACACCCTGGGCTTGCTGTTGCAGATACAATGATGAGTGAGACATGGTGGCTGCCCTGTAATTAGTCACAACTCGTTGGGTCTCTGCCTAGTTTTTTCAGTTAATCATTTGAGCCCGAGAGATCCCAGACAGAAGGACCACCTAGGCCTACTTGGGCAGCCGTTCCATGACCCAAGGCAGTGCACCTAGAGAAAAGGGCCCTGGACATCGGGTGAGAAAACCTGAGTTGAAATTCTCGCTTGGACAGCAATTAGTACTGTAGCTTGGACAGTTCATTTGTCCGACCCCTCTTCTTCCTCATCTCCACATAGAAACCCCCCACACCCTCTTCCCCAGGTGACCACAAGGATGCAGGGTGTGGGTGTTGCTCTCTGTCTCCCCCGTTGGTGCTGAGTCCTTGACTCTTTGGTGCGAGCTGGCTCTGAACCCCCATTTAGCACCTCTGCATGCAGCTGGCCTAGCCCCCAGCATGGCCCAGTCTTCATGAACAACATGTATTGCACGTGATGTTTCGGGGGGGAGGGGAGAGGATGGCTTCTGGCTCCAGCTCCTGGCCTCACACTTGGCCTCCCGCTCTGACTTCTATCCCAGCCTCCAGTCAGCACCACAGCAGTGCACGGCTGTATATCTCATTGCTTCATCCCCATGTTTCCTTCTCTTATTGCAAAATGTCAGGTGAATCCAAAGTAAGGGGTCAGACCATGAGTCAAGGAGGCCAGTTTAAAGGGGTGTGTCACCCTTTTTTGGCGATAACTTATTACTGATAAGCTCGGGCTGGCAGAACCAGAACTCTTGGTCCCTTCTCCTACAAGAATGGATTGGAGGGTTGAAGTGTCTTGTTGGAGATTCCTGGAAGCCAACATGGGCAGAGGGACATGGACACGGCCCCACTGCTCTCTCCTCACCCTTTCTCTCTCCTTTTGTGTTCACAGTCGACCATAGTATGTTCGAGAATTTGAACACAGCTCTCACTCCCAAGCTCCAATCCAGCCGCTCCGTCCCCCATCTGTCCAGGCCTACAGCCCCCAGCTCCACCACCCTGGGACCCATGGAGCCTGGCGGAACGGGGCTCTGGGTGGGCAGTGGTCAGCACCTCAGGAACCTGGGCAGAGCCATGGGGGCCAAAGTGAACGACTTACTACGGAGAAAGGAACCCTGGAGCCTGGGGGGCCTGAGCGTGATGGAGGTCAACAGGACTGCCAGGGCCCAGCTGGCCAGTGGGGCTGACCTGGAGGATGAAAGGTGAGTGCCCTCCCCTCCCACCACACACTTGAAAGGTCCATGGACATATCGTGGTGTCCCCAGAGGGAAGTAACCCAGGGAACGTGACATCACGTGAAGAGTAGCTGAAGGGCTGCGTGATGGTCACAGTGCCATTGCCTTCTGGCTGGGCCTCATGCTCAGCTTCCCTGTCTACAATAGGGCTCCGAGGCAGGTTATGTTCCTTCCATTTGCCAGTAACTCAAGCTCAGAGGTAACTAAGTGGCCTCAGGCTGCAAGGTCAGGAGTTGGCGCATCTGATGCCAGGTGCTGCTGCCTGGTGGATTCTGACCCCAGCCCTCACCTGGTGCTGCAGCTGTGACTCTTACTGAGGAGATGAGCAGCCAGAAGCCTCTGGGGCATGGGGAGGGGGGTGGTCCTCCCCATCTTCCCTCTAGTGCCAGTGGGCCCTCTCCAGGCCTTGTTTGAACACTGCCCCGGAGTCGCACCCTTGCCTAGCTTCGCACGTCACATTGCTCAGTGGTGGTTCCAGTGTTGACACTTGTCCTTCTGTCACCAAGCAGGGCAAAGCTGGCGGTTGTGCTCAAGCCGCTCAGATCACATAAGTGAGAACCTAGAGGATAGTGCACTCTGCGGGCAGGGGAGAGTGAGTCAGGGCGAGCTGCGCAGCTCTTCTGGAAAGCTTGCATGTCCACCGTCATCCACCCAACAGGTTGGCCCTGCAAGAGGCATTCCCTCGGCTGGACCCTCCACCTCCCATCACCAGGAAGCGGACCCCGCGGGCCCTGAAGACCACCCAAGATATGCTGATTTCCTCGCAGCCTGTCCTGAGCAGTCTGGAGTGTGGGACAGAGCTGTCACCAGGGCAGCCACAGGACTCCCCTGTGGCCCAGCCCATCTCAGATGACGCTTCACAGCCAGAAGCCACCCCAGAGGAGGTGGATAGGAGCGAGGTTGTGCCCAATGGAGAGGTTGCCCTGTCTGTTCCTGACCTAATCCACAAGGACAGCCAGGATGAATCCAAGGTCATGATGACAGAGTGCAGAAGGGCCTCCTCCCCGGGCCTCATGGAGAGAAATGGGCTCAAACTCAGCCTCAGCCCCATCAGCCTGACTGAGTCGCTGGAGGACAGCAGCCTCCCTTCTCAGGCCCGGACCTCCAGCCTTGACAGTGAGGGTCCTCACCCAGACCTGCTGTCCTTTGAGTAGAGCCTCATCTTGCCCAGCACACCCCTCCCCTCAGCTCTCTGCCGTGTGCCCCAGCCCTTGCCCTGGCCATGTCTTCGCAGGAGGCACCAGATGAGCACCAGCCCAGTAGGGGCCAGAAGTCCATGGCCTAAGGAGCGATGTCCCAGTTAAGGTGTGTCTGCAGAGTGGCGGCCTCTGGGGTCTGTCCCTGGTTCTCGATTCCATTGGCTTATCCAGGGGCTGAAGCTCCTCTCTCCCTGGTCATCTTGGATTCCACTGAATTTCTGGGTCACCAGCCGGGGTGATGGACCTTTTCCTGTGTCCTCACATGCCTGCCCCTGCTCTCTGGAGTCCATGCTTGAGTCCTGCCTTCTCCCTCGAGACCCAGAGCTCCTTCCTTGGTAAGACCCAGAGCTCCTTCCTTGGTATCAGGCTGAAGGAGGCATGAAGCGTTCGGCTTGATGATGGGCACAGACCCAGAAAGCCACACACCTGAGCCCAGCCACGCTCCAGGTTCCGAGGCAGCATGGATCCCAGGATGTCTGTGCTCTGGCACCGTGGCAGTGACCAGAGAAGCTGCTTCCCGGGCCTGAGACTCAGGCCGCATGCTTGTCCAGGATTCCTGGGGGGTGGGGGGGTCTATCTAGTCAGATGGAGAGACATGGTGCCTTGGAGTGAGCACAACTCCAACCCCTGGCCCAGCTGTGAGGTGTTGCCGGGTGCTGGGAAGAGGATACCAGGGCCACACTTGGGCTTCCTTCCTGTGTGTGACTCCAAGGCCTACCAGAGCCCCCCAGAAACCCCCAAGAACATTCTGGTCACTTTGGGGAGACCTTTCAAGTGGGGTGGTCCTGGCAACAGGGTGCTGGTCCCAAGGGAGTGAAGAGAAGCTGGAGTGAAGGCAGTGAATTCAGAACAGGGCAGGGGCTGTCACTGGGGATGAGAGCAGCTTTCCAGGGCCCACACCACACCCTGAAGGATGCAGCACTAGGATCTCAGCGTGGTGCATGTGGGAGCCAGAGGGAAGGCAGGGACTTGAGTCCCCTAAAGGGACCTCTACTCTCCTGTCCCTCACCTCATGCTGCTGTTCCTGCTCAGTCTTTGGGGTCTCTGTGAGGGCTGGCTCTACCTGGCCTTGCCCTGCAGGGTTAACCTATCTTTGCACGCCTGTCTCCTAGCAGAAGCCTTGCAGTGCTGTCTTCTTCCTGTGGCCAGGAAATCCTGTCAGGGACTAGGGGGAGGGGGAAGACCCAACATGGGGGCCTTATAAGCAAGAAGAGAACATCCCCTCTTTTGAACAGGTCCCTGGGAGAAGGCAGGAAAGGCCCGTCCAGTGTGGGCTACCCCTTCTGATTCCTGCTGCCTCCGTTTTTCTGTCCACTGTTTCGGTTGCCCACCTGTGAGTTCTGGGGCTCCCAGAACTCACTTCCCTCTCGCCTCATCACCCTGGTCTGCTCCCCTCCCACTTCTCCTGCCAGCTCTTACTGACCTGAGGTCTAGAGGAGATCCTTTCCCACCTCCACTCCTCCACTATAGGCCTGGGAACTCAGGAGATCCTATTTCTACCACCTCTGCTAACAGCTCTAGGTCTGTGTGGTGGAGACCACCAGTGTATCCTTCCTTGCTCCTGCAGCCCTGCTCACCTTTCTTCTCTCCTGTCTTCATCACCCTGAAAGTAAGGCTCACACAGTGACCCTTGCTTCCCTTCCCTCTGAGGGCCTATGCTGGGAGGGGCCTGGTTTCATGGGAGCTTCCTTACCAGAAGCTCAGTTTGCTTCTCTGGTGGGAAACTTTGAGAGCAGCTGCACCCAGTGGTGGCAGTAGCCAGAGAAACGAGTGTCCCAGGCCTGGGCTGCTTTCAGTACCCTGCTCCCCACTCCATACCCAGCCTCCATTCAAGTCCTGGCCTTAGACCTAGGAGCAGCAAAGGAACCTATCACACCTCCCCAGGATGGTCCTAGGATGTTAGGGTGACCCTCAGACTTCCTCAGACCGTGTCTGATAGTGAATGAGAGGCCACAGGACTCCACTCCGTTCCTAGCTCGTTCTCTGTGATCTCCACCCCACCACCATGCAGCACAGGTGGGCAACTACCTCAGTGGGCTTTTGAGGCTAAAATCTGATTCTAGACGCTGCAGATGTTGCCTGGTGCTAGGACCTATGTGCCATCCAGACAAGGACTTCTAATCCTGCTGAGGACCTCAGCTTAGACCCTCTCTCTGTTGAGACAGGACTCATCTTCCCATGTCCACCTCAGTGGCCTGACCTTCCTGTGATTGTAGCACACCCCATCCCAACGCACACACACACACACACACACACACATACACACACACACACACACACACACATGCACGCACGCATGGCCTGTGTAGGGACCCAGCTTCTATGAAAGTTCAGCTTGGGGTGGCTCAGTCCTTGGAAGGACCTATCTAGGTTGTGTCCTCAGTCACCCCCATCCCCATTATGTCCCAAGCCCACTGTGTCTCTGTATCTACTATGTCTATGTCTTTATCTACTTTCCCTGGTAGACCACAGGTGAGCTTCCAGAACCTGGCTGGAGGAGGCCAGGTCCCCCACACAGTGAAATGTGTCTTATAGTCATGGGTAATACCAAGACAGATGTGTGTGATCCCCTGACTTGTAAAGAACAAAGCCATTGGCCCCAGTTCAGAAGAGGAGGATAACATATCTGAGTATTTTCTAGAGATTTTTATATTTATATTTTTAGTAATTTTCTGGTAGAAGGAAACCACACAATAAAATGATTGGTTTGGTTTTGCTGCTCGGTGTGTTTTCTCCTCACTAATGGGGGGTGCTTGCTTTTCTCAAGCCTGACTTGCTAAGCAAGAAACCCTGGTTCCTCCTGGCAGAGTGAGAAAGGGGGAGAGGGAAGTGTGAACCTGGGGACACTGCTAATAGAACTGCAACTTGAGACCCTTGGGAGAAGATGGCCCCTTGGGATTTGGGTTGGTCGTCAGGCCATCTGCATCCTGGTGGCCACTCTGTGAGCCCCTCTTCCAGTCTGACTTTGGCTGTTTGAGAAGCATCATTAATGTGACATCAACAGGTAAGTCCCTCCTCAGGAGGAAGCAAGAGGACATGGCAGGTGACTGACCACTTACTGATTAAGCAATGATTTTTTTTTACCACTGGAAATTCTCATTTTCCAGGTATGTTTATTGAGGTAATATTTTACAACATTGTATTTTCTGAGATACAGGTTCATACCTCTACAAATGTATCAAATCAAGCCCACCACCAAGGTTCCAGTAACCCTCCACCATAGTTCATTGGGTCCTTCCCCCATTTGTTGAGAAGTCTTAGTTCTGTAGTCAGATTTCAAGGGTTATGTTCTGTCCCTTTGATTTTTATATTCCACATATGAGTGAAATCCAGTGTTTTTCTTTCTCCCACTGACTCAATTTTCTTAGCATAAGATCCTGTTCCATTCATTTTGTTGCAAATGGCAACATTTTGTCTTTTGACAGCTAAGTAGTATTCCATTGTGTATATACCGCTTTATCCATTGGCCTCCAAGTTTTCAAAATTTCCTCCTTGATTTCTTCTTTAACCCTATTCTATAGCAAGTTATTTAATCTCCACATATTTGAGGTCCTTCCCTGCTTCCTTCTGTCATTGATATATACAGAGAAAATTATAATTTCAATCATGTGACTCAAAATGTGGCTGATCCTTGAGTATGTCATGTATCTTCTCAAATGAGAAGAATGTGTACTGAGTTTTTTGGGGAGTGGAGTGCCCTCAAAGTGTCTAGTAGCCCTTCTGCACTAATTTTTCATTGAAGGTTGTATCATTGTTGATGGATATGTTTGCTGATGTAAGTCCCCTGCTACTACTATGCTCTTGTCAATGTCTGTTTTTAGGTTAATGGTTGCTTTACATATTTTATTTATTTATTTTTTAAAGATTTATTTATTTGTGCATTCAGAACTGGGGTACAGGCCAGAGGCTCAGGGGCAGCGAGAGGCTTCACCAGAGACAGAGCGGGGAGCAGAACAGGCAGATCAACGAAGTACACTGCTGAGGGGAGCAGCGGGCGGCGGGTCAGGAGAGGTCTGCCACGCCATGTGGATCTCCTCCGGGGCAGGCTGGGATCAAAATCATGCAGAAGTGGCTTAAGCTTCTTAGTGCTGTGCTTTAACCCGCTGTGCTACCAGGGAGGGCCAACTTTACATATATTGATACAACTACATTTGTTATTGATACAACTACATTGATGAGTGTTGTGTCTTCTTGATGTAATGCAAGCAGTGACTCAAACTGGGGTCCACAGTGCTCTTTCATCAAGGACGAAATGGAGCTGTGGGCATAGGCATTGGTGAAATAGACAAAGGCAACACTGGGATTCTTAGTCATCACTAAATGACAGCAAATACCCAGAGCTGTAGACTTGGTGTTTACCTGGCAAGTGTGCACAACATGGCAGCCCTGGCACCAGCTTGTTGAGAGAATGGCTTGGAGCAATGCTGCCTGAAGTCTCTGCCTCCTTGCTGCCTGTGGGTGTGTATCAGACCAGGGGACCCAGACAGTCCCCTGACAATTGAGACTGGCATGAACCCATGACCGTACCTGGGGTTGCGATCCATAGTTTGGCACACAGGGGCCCCTGGCTCCATGTCAGAAGTATCTCAGGCATCAGGCTGTCTCCAGACTTCTTTGCATATTCATCTATAGCAGGACAAGGATAGAACAGGCTTTGAGGACACTGCTCTGTAGCAGACTGCAGTATTCTGGGAAAGCAAGATGATGTGAAAACCAAGCAAACATACTCCACACATGGGAAAAGGGCATAGAAAATATAATGGCAATTTTTCTCTTCAGGGGTGGCCTCTAGTGAATTCTTTGGGTAACCTCTCCTATTGAATTGATTTAGGATTGTCTTCTGTAGTCATCTAGCTATGAAATGTGACTTTCCCACTATTATGCAAAAGAGTTATTTTCTGGCTGAAATGAAGTATGAAAAATTGTAAAAAAAAAAAAAAAAATTCGTTAGGAAGTATAAAAAAATCCAGATGTGTATGTATCATATTCTGGGCATCTGGGCTCACAGCCAAGCCTTTGGTCTAGAAACTGGGGAATAAGTACATGTCCAAACCCCTCACCCCCCCACACCCCCAATAAGTTGAGTGTGTCTGGGGCGCAGTGGTGGTAAAGGGATGCCTCGTTTGTCTCGCTTTGCTGACAGTAGGCAGGGTGCATGCTGCCTTCCCTCCAGGACATTTTAGCAGGCTGAGATAGGAGGGCACGAAACAGAAAAAGCAACGAAGGCAGGAAGTTCAACTGAGTGTCCATCTGCGGCCATCCCAGCCAGAGTGCTCCAGGGCTTGCCTGAGTGTGGGCGCTAAGCAGAGCGGGGTCTTGCTGGTCTTGTCCGAGCTAGGGTGTTCAGAGTGGCTCGGCCTGCAGTGCTTCCTGGAAGAGGGTGACACACAGGCTGTCTGGACACCCACTTCTTTCCTCCAGACTGCACATGTGCTGGTGGCAAACCCCACTTAATATTTGGAATCAGCTACTCCTCCAGGACAGCTGGGCTCGTTGCTATCCTAAACTCAGAGGATTCCTTTTTGGCCAGTTTATTCTGCCTTCAGACTTGAGAATCCCTTTGAAGTCAGTAAATACTGGGGTATTGTAAAGCCCCAGTGACTCCCCATCGCCTCCACTCCCAACCCACAGCTGCTGGTGGTGGTAAATCAGCTGCTCTTGGAGCAGTGTGCCTGCTGGCTTTGGGGTGTCCCATCTGGAGGCCCCAGTATAGCTCCCTTGTGGGTGGGAGCAAGTGATTAAGGCCATACCAAAAAAATAAATAAATAAAGCCCTGGCAGCAGATTCCCACCTCCCCTGCAAATGGCCTTTACTGTCCTTCGTCTCTCCCCAGGAAATCCACTGTGGAAACTTCAAGTTGCCCAGTGAAAGCATCTTCAAGTGCTTTACCCTCTAGGGTGCCCTCCTCCTGGGGTCGTTTGCACTGGGCATGTTATGAAAGGCGGGAGTCCCCACCACCGGCTCCCTACTAATGAGAAAATTCCTCGGCTTTTGGTATCCAGGGACCAGCCCTTCTGAGACAAGGTTCTCTTTGTGCCCGGCTTATTTCCAGCTGCTACCACGATAAATAGTCCAACTCCGAGGAGCCCCACAGAAGAGTCACTTGGTTGTGGACCACACAGACAGGGAAGCAAGCTTTAGGAAATCTGTAAGGAACAACTCTGACGAGGCTACTTCTCTCCTTTGGGCGCCTGAGGAATGTATGACAGGGTGGGAAACCCACCAGTGGTTTTCTTTTGAAATAATCCAACACCTCCCCCACCCAAGGAAAGCCCAAACCCCCCAAACAACCACCTAACTGCAGCTGTTTTTCTTGACTGTTGACTGGGTCAGCATGTCCAGTGCCCTCTGCTCAGCTGCCTTAAGCACCTCCACATCGGCTACCTGACCCCTTCCCAGCCTGTCGGTTTATCCAGCATTCAGGCACAGTGAGTGCTCAGCCTGCCTTGCTGGCTAATGGGGGCTGCTTGTGGCCCCTCCATGGTCACCGTGGCCTGTTGGCACTGGACCCAGCCATGTGAGCCAGTAAAGGGTCAGCCTGGTCTTTGGAGATAAAGGAGTCATCAAAGGTTCAGCCCTCAGGTGATTCCTGCTTCGCCAGGACCCCATCCTGGGTGGACCCCATTGCTGCACAGGAAATCCCAGCACAGGTCTGGAGCCCCCAGCAGTCTGTATCTGGTGAATTCTGTTTTTATTAAGCTTCCCTGTTCAGTTCAAACCTAGAGTCCTCTGTGTCAAGAACTGTCAAAGTCTTTGCAACGTAACTTGTAAATTCTTGTCACACCTGCTGACATTTTTAGGAACTGAGGTTTTGGGGAGGTGGTGGACCTCCCTGGGAAGTAATTCTGGGGGTAATAAAGCTGTAGGATAAGGCTGTTCTGTGTCAGCCACTCAAGTGTCCCTACACTTCAAGGAGATCATAGGTTGTGATGAGGCTGGGGTCTTCTGGAAGTGGTTTTTACTTTTTTAGAAATTTTTATTTTTTGTGTGTTTGTAGAACTGGGGTGCAGGTTAGAGGTGCAGGGGTGAGAGGATTCACTAGAGACAGAGTGGGGAGTAGAACAGGCAGACTGACTGAAATACACTGTTCAGGGGAGTCGTTAGCCAGACACGAGAGGTCTGCTGTGCCATGTGGGTCACCTCCCAGGCTGTCTTCGTGGTGAGAGAGCTGAGATTTAACCCCTCAGCCAGCAGGGAGGCCCCGAGGCTAGGAGTCTTCAGAGGAGCTTGAGGGAAGTATGAGATTCCTCTAGATTCTCTAAAA